CATAAACAACCAAGTAATTGATAAAATTAGATCATCAAAATACCTAGGTGTGATACTTGCTGAGGAATTGCGATTTACAGAACACATAATTAGCACCTCAAATAGAGCTACCAAAACCTAAACATTCTGAGAAGGCTATGTGGAATAAATTGGGGAGCAAAACCCAAAATTCTCAGAACAACATATATCACCTTAATAAGGTCAATAATGAAATATGCAACACCTGTTTGGGCTCCCTCAAGTTCATCACTAAAAAGAAGACTAGACAGTGTTCAAGCAAAAGCGGCCAAATTAATCACTGGTTCTGTTTCAAATACCAACAATTAGAAAATTCAGAAAGAATGTGGTCTAGACCTACTTGAAAGCAGAAGTCAATTTAAAACAATAAAATTCACCAATAGCTTTAAGTAAAAAAACCGAACACATATCCCATAGAACCTATTTAAACTGGACACAAAAAGAAAGACTCAAAAGATCTTCAACACTCAGTACGACAACAATATTAGAAGGGGAATAAATATGAAACATAATGAATTTCAAATTCAAGAAGAACCAATATTTCCTACCCCATTGTCATCAAATGTAATCATCAATCTTAACCTGAATGAACCCTGCAATAAAAAAGAGAACAATAACATACTTAAAAAGAGAGGAGAGAGAGACTTGACACAATTGGTTTATTCGATCAGATAAATTATTTAACAGCACATACAGATGGATCATCAGACTTTACCATAAGTAATGGAGGGGCTGGAATTAACATAATACTGCAAGATGGAACATACATCAAAATCAAAGAAGGAGCAAGAAAGATTTCGTCAAACTTCACTTGTGAACTGACAGCTATCTGGAAAGCTCTTGATGTATGCCTCAACCAACCATCCCTGCATCAAGCAGAAGGAATTATAATATACCGTACAACGACTTCGTATCCGATCTAGAAGCAATTCAGAAGGGCAATACTATAATCACACAGAAAATACATTCGTTACTTACTCAACTGATATCATTGGAGAATAACTGCATTCTACAATGGATTCCTGCCAGTGTTTGGATCGGGGGTAATGAATTGGCAGTTTAAATTGCAAAGGAAGCCAGAAAGTTGAGCCAAAGGAAAGAAGAAATGTCATTATTTGACGCTAATGCTTTTGCAAAATACAAGATAATTAAACAAAAAATAAGAAAAGATCAAAATGGTAAATTACTCCGAGAGAAAAATGACAAAACTATAACAAGATATAGAACAAAACATTATAAAGGATGACAATACATCCAGATGGCACAAGAACCTATAGAACATGCAACAACTGTCGTGGTGTGGAACTAACACTTACCCACATATTCTCATGCCCGCAGCCTTGCAGAAAATTGACATAGACCCAGAGCAGCTGCTTTACACACCCAAGATAATGGACAATGCTGCTGCTGTGATAGAGATGCATGGAGACATCTGAGGCTCTTTATTGGGAGAAAAATAACAACGGCATTCCAGAGTAAAATAAATCATCAGAGATAGATAAATATTTTAAATGATTTAAAATAAATATAATCAATACTGAGAGAGAGTTGAATTAAAAAAATTAAAAAATTATTATTTTCAAAATTTAAATAGCTGAGAGGATTCAAGCAAACCGCATCTAAAATTTCAGGTTTTTTTTTTTTTTTGCTACATGTTTTAATTTGCATATACCTATTTTACATATCTCAGATTGTATTTAAAAATCGTTAACCATTTCTTCTAACTTTTGGCGAAATGGTGTTTTATTAATTTATCATTTGATATTATTAGGGTTCTTTCCTGGTATTCAAAAAGGAAAAATACATGTCGTTCAGTTATATTTTTCAATTTATCAAACTATTTTCAGTCAGGAAGAACCTGTAAATTCTCGACATAATCAAGGTTGTCATGGCGACGTCGCAGTTTTAAAGGCCAGACCCCGAATTGGACGTCATTGGAATCAGGACATCGGAAGCCCTATTGAACAGCTGTAGCTTTGTCGAAAATAGATGAAAATGAATTTTGTTTTTCTGTGTGAAGAGTAATAATACACAGTAAATAAAATATATATGATCTATATATATAAAAAATTGAATGTCTTTCTGTCAGTATGTTTGTACTCTATAGATTCAAAAACCATACATCGCCGTGAAATTTTGGGATTTTATTAGGCATATCCCCGGGAAGGTTTTTGAAAAATAATTTCTTGAAAATCTTGAATATCCTTAGAGTTATTTGCAGATTTGTAGATTTAACTCGCAAGCAGCGCCCCCATTGCGACGATGATAACAAGTTTTTTTTATCTATAAGTTCTATTATCACTAAGTTTATTATCTTAAAGATTATTTATCAAAAGTAAGATTTTCTACCTATTAATTGCGCACAAGTCAAAGTTAGTTATCGAGTATTTTTCAAGGGACCGGTAAAAATGTTCACTAGATAAAACGATGATTTTGTAATGTAGAAAATTATGAAAGACAAAATTCAGGATGACACGGCAATTTATTTGAGACAAGATGAGACAAGGGACCGGGAAAAAATGTTCACTTTATCGAGAGATTCAAATTTACGAGTTTCAAATTATCAAAATATATTTATTATTTTTTAATAAGTTTATAGAGAATTGTTTTAACAAATGTTCGTTAGACAAACCTTTACGTGGGTAAAACCCGGGCGAAGCTGGGTACGTCCGCTAGTTATAAATACAAGTATCAGAGCCATCAATAATTCTGTCATCGTTTGCTTTTGTGAATGGAATAAATACCCAAATAGGGTCATTTCTTATAAGCATCGGTGGTTCAGTGGTAGAATGCTCGCCTGCTACGCGGGCGGCCCGGTTCGATTCCCGGCCGATGCATATTTTTTTTATTTTTACAATTTTTAAAACTCATTTATATTATTATATCTTAAAATAAAATGACTTAAAGCGCGAATGTTTCTTTTATACATAAAACGAACTTCTACTGTCCTTACTGACCTTATTTTATGTGTATAGATGGCGCGTTATTGCTTTGTGTTAATTTATTCCTAATGGCCTTGTCTTTATAGTTTGCTGAAGAGCATTGCTCGAAGCAAATATTTGAATGTAATTCTACTGTCCTATAAGCTTATGTCCATAGTTTACTTGAAAACCATTTCTAAGATTCCATCCTTCAGTGTAGCATATAAAAGCAGAATGATCCAATACAGTATTAGAGCTCTGAGAAGCGGTCTGGTGGATTAAATTGGCGAAACCGCTGGGAGGGTTCACCACTGATGAGCCAAGCCCTCCCAATATATTTTTTCATCGCAGTAAGGACAGTAGAAGTTCGTTTTATGTATAAAAGAAACATTAGCGCTTTAAGTCCTTTTATTTTATGTGTATAGATGGCGCGTTATTGCTTTGTGTTAAATTATTATCTCTATATATATAAAAGTCAGCGTATGTATGTATGTTTGTCAACTATACACGTCCACAATACGTAACTAATCTGACTGATATTTTAACAGTATATAAAGTAGAATCTGGAAGAACTCTTAGTGAAAATTTCAGGTCTCTTATCGAATATACGTCGTTTTATTTGCAAATTTGCTCATTCGCTCGCGCTTCTAGCGGTGAAAATGGGGGGTAATACCAGCTGACCTAATGTACATGTAAAGTTTAGAGCGGGACGTTTCACAAGAGTGACATCCACGGCTCCAATTTATAATTGTAACGAATAGTATTTGAATAAAAACATTTAATCGGGTAAAACTGTTAAAATATACAGTTATCAGAGTCATGCACAATTCTGTCACGTTAAGTCACGTGTCAAGTTACGGTAAGTAAAAATTTAAAAATCATATATACAAGTATCAGAGTCATCAATTCTGTCATCGTTTTAAAATATTAAAATTTTCAGTCTAACCTCTTCCAACGGAGCTATTTCAGTTTATTTTAGTTATTTCTATAGAAGCTTCTATCTTTATAATTATGTATATTTTCAAAAGGTAAATTCACACCTCTTCGCTGGAGACCATGGGAATACTGAATAATTCATTATGCTAACATAATCATATATTCAAGTATCAGAGTCATCAATTCTGTCACGTTAAGTCATGTGTCAAGTCACGGTAAGTGCACACAATGCAAAAAAAAAAGTCACAAATTCAGCGTTACTGTATGTAAATAATCACTTTCTTATTTTTTATTATTTTTTCTGGCCTTTGTTTTTTTATCTCTCTTTTTTAAATCGTTTAAAATGCAGTCGCAGTCACTAGCAAACACATATGTCTGCCTAATTTCCATGTGCTCTTTATTTTTTACAGAAAAATATTTACATGCCAGTATTTTGGATTGATATTTTTTATAAACCTATTTTTTCTTATTTTTACTGAGAATATGGGCATCGCAGTCAGGATCCATCGTAGTCACTCACTCAACTCAGGCAATTTCAAGGGTTAGTGCGCTGAGGCGGGTACCTCGGGGGTTGGGTGGAAAAGCTGCCATCTATTTAAACTATATTGATTTTGAAACATCTAAATGCATTGCAAAAAATAATTAAATCAAATACCTAAACACTAATATAATACAATTTTTGCCATCACACACATTTTTTGCCTGTGGTTTATGTGTTACTTCTGTGTTGCTATTCTATGGCACTTCTACTATTTATTATTGATTTACTTTCAGTATGAAGGAAATTGCACTCGGGGTAATTCTCGGGTGAAGTCGGGTCATTCGTCTAGAGAATTCAAGAAAGACATCCACGGCGCCAATTTATAATTGTAACGAATAGTATTTGAATAAAAGCATTTAATCGGACAAAAACCCGGGCAACGCCGGCCTAGTAAATTATAAACACAAGGTACTAAGACCAAATCCATGATAAGGCACAATTTGGATTATTAATATATACAGTTATCAGAGTCATGCACAATCCTGTCACGTTAAGTCACGTGTCAAGTTACGGTAAGTAAAAATACAAGTATCAGAGTCATCAATTCTGTCATCGTTTTAAAAAAATAAAATATTAAAAAAAGATGCCGAAACCCGGGATCAAACCAGAGACCTTTAGATCTTCAGTCTAACGCTCTCCCAACTGAGCTATTTCAGCTTATTTTAGTTATTTCTATATTGGGAGCTTCTATCTTTATAATTATGTATATTTTCAAAAAGTCAATTCACACCTCTTCGCTGGAGACCATGGAAATACTGACTAATTCATTATGCTAACATAATTAAAATATACATGTATCAGAGTCATCAATCAATTCTGTCATCGTTTAATTTTGTGAATGGAATAAATTCTCAAATATGGCTGTTTCTTATAAGCATCGGTGGTTCAGAGGTAGAATGCTCGCCTGCCACGCGGGCGGCCTGGGTTCGATTCCCGCTCGATGCATTTTTTTTTATTTTACAATTTTTAAAACTCATTTATATTATTATTATTATTATTAAAATATACAAGTATCAGAATCATCAATTTTGACATCGTTTGCTTTTGTGAATGTATGTAAATAATGGATTTCATATTTTTTATTAATTTTTGTTCTGGCCTTTATTTGTTTAAATCTCTATTTAAAAATCGTTTAAAATGCATTCGCAATCATTAGCGAACACATATGTTTGCCTAATATTTCCATATGCTCTTTTATTTTTTTACAGAAAAATATTTACATGCCAGTATTTTGGATTAATTTTTTTATAAACCTATTTTTTTTCTATTCTTACTGAGAAGATGGCCATCGCAGTCAGGATTCTTTACAGTCAATCACTCAACTCAGGCAATTTCAAAGGTTAATGGGGGTTTGGTGGAAAAGCTGCCGTCTATTTAAACTATATTAATTTTGAAACAACTAAATGGATTGCAAAATATAATTAAATCAAATACCTAAACACTAATATAATACAATTTTTGCCATTACACACTTTTTTTCCTGTAGTTTATGTTTCTTCTGTATTGCTATTCTATGGCACTTCTACGATTTATTATTGATGTACTCTCAGTATGAAGGATACTTCACTCGGGGGATTTCTCGGGCGAAGCCGGGTCATTCTTCTAGTACGAGTATAATATATATATGTTGGTAAGCTATGCACGCCCTCAATATGTAACTAATCTCGCTGAAATTTGAACAGGACAGAGAGTTAAATCTGTAAAGTTTTTGTCGCGCTTTAACCAAGAAAAATTATAATTAACCATGTACTGAGAAACAATATTTTTTTAGTCTGAAATGATTATGACAATATTGCTGTATCATACTTGATTTACATTTTAAAAAATTCTTTAGGGGTATATTCACTAAAGCAGACCACGGGCGAATCCAGATAATAATTTTTATCAGGCAAGAACAAAATTCAACCAGCGAAACATTCACTCGAGCAGAAGACACACGAAGCCAGGTCATCTCTATATATTAAATATTTTTTCTCGGCCTTTTGGCTAAGATCATGTAGTATATCTCTCTATATATATATATATATATTAGATAATAAAAGGCATATATTGGATTTACTAAAATATTTATTTTGCCAATATTTCGGCTGGCTGAACGCCAACCTTTATCGATAAAGGTTGGCGTTCAGCCAGCCGAAATATTGGCAAAATAAATATTTTAGTAAATCCAATATATGCCTTTTATTATCTAATGAATTAAATATGGATTGCTCTATTTTCAAAACAAAAAAAAAATATATATATATAATAATAAATAGTTATTTGATTTTATAGTCCAGTTTTGTATTAAGATTATCTTCACTATTATGATCATTTAAATTCAAATTATAAAATTTGTAAAATGTTATTAATTTGTAGATAGAGAGAGAAAAAAAAAAATCTTTACTTCTAATACATCATCAAGTTAATTATATATTTATAATTAATAACAATAAAAATTAACAACGTAACGTCTTTTGCATCGGCTTTTACACGTCATTTAGACATACTCTAATCCTATATATAGAATAATCGAAGTGAGAATATATATAATAGTTAGAAAAAAGAGAGAAAGACAGAACCATGCACTTTTAATCAAACTAATAATAAGGAAAAAAAAAAGAAAAAATTTTGTAAAGAAGGTAGATAATGCAGTACCAGATCATTTTATGGGCAGTTAGAGCATACAAAACCACTTCATCAAACTGTGTGCATAGCTTGGCAAAAATTCCACTCCTAACAGATTATATAGAATCCAGAATAATCAAATTTGATCTAGCTCAAATGTCCATTGAAGATCTAATTACTTACGAACCCCATGCTCCAAGTATAGTCAAATCATTCTTACACGCAAAAATGAATGAAATTTTTGAGAACACTAATGAAATTTTCAGAAGCTTTTTCGTATTAGGAATTCCAAGATTTTTCCGTCCAAATTTTTATAATATCCAATTCATTACAGATCATGGCAATTTTGGGAAATTTTTGGCAACTATCGGCGCCGTGAAGGAACCAGGATGCTTCTGCGAAGGTGAAATTCAAGACGCGAGACATCTACTTCTGGAGTGCCCAATTTTCCGGGATTTTAGGGAAAATAGATTTGGTCGTATTGGACAGCTTGATGAATTTGTAGACAAAAAAGAAAAGTATAAAAATTTTGATCAATTTTGTAAATACATATACAACTTTCTCTTGAATTGGAAAAAAGAGAAGGAATCTTAGAAAAAAAAAAAAAGAACTGCGATGCTTGCTCTGTGTGTTTTGCTTTGTTGTTTGTTTTTCTCTTTGGACAATTTTCTTTAGTTAATTTATGTAAAATAATGAATTGAACAGGATTGTATATAGCCTAATTGCTGTAATGCAGTGAAATGTATTGGCGCAAATATCCCTGAGTTTGGGATATCGCGTTTCATGATGTTAATAAAGTTAATTAATTAAGGTAGATAAGATTGTTAGTATATATATATATATATTTTTATAATTTTATATTTTACCCTTTTTTTTTTTAAAGATTTTTTAAGGTTTTTTTTATTTTATAATATGATTATAAATAGTTGTATTTAGTAATATATCTATAGTATGAATTAACATTTGTTATAAGTTTGGATATTATGTTTTGAAACTCTAATGGTAGACCAGACATACACAAAAAACTTTAAATTGAAATAAATTGGAAAAAGAGATCTGCTGGACCGGGGATCTTCAGATAAAAGCCCAGCGACATTTCCCCCCTTCTTTATTATGTCATAGATCTCTTTTAAACCGGATTTTATGTGTTAATATTAAGTTGTTTCAGTGAAATATTTAAATGAACATATATAACAGATACAAGTGTTAACAAATTCAAACTGTAAACCTACCTCGACCGCGGCGTCCTCCATTGTGAATATCTATTTCTGGCTGACACATGTTGCGGGGGGGGGGACATTTCAAATTTAGACCATTTATTCAGAATTTTTTTGAACAACAAGAAAATTAAAGAAGAAAGGAAAAATAGTTAAGGGAAGAAAGCTGAATTTCATAATCTTTACAGCTAGTTATATCAAAATAACTGATTCAACACTTATTCATTTTTTAATATTCCTTTAAAAAGGCAAATTATAAGAGTTTAATAAAGCTATTAATTGTGCAAATTCACCTTTATTTAACTTCCATTTTCCTCCCCAGAAATTGGAGATTAAACAAAATGAACTATATACTATAACACTTTAAAAATCTTGTGAAAAAATCTTTTAATCAGTTATTTAATCAAAGTTTAATTAACTGTTAAAGATTATAAATTTGTATTAGTTATTATTAAGAGAAATTATAGAAAGTTGATTTCATAAATGGATATTTCCATTTATTTTTTTTTTTAATATTTTATAATTGATATACTGTTGAAATATTTTACTTGTCTGATACTAAATTTGTTTTTAATAAATTCCATGTTTAAATTTTTAACATCTTCTATGAAATTATCTAATATATTATTTATTCTATAAAATCTTAGAAACTGACCATAATATATACCCTTACAGCAATTTAATGATATATTAGAATTCATATTACAGTATTTTATAATATTGAAATTATAATTACTCTTTTTATTATAAACTCTAACAGCACTATTTGTAAGGTCTATATTCAAGTCTAAAAATAATCTTATAATCAATTTATTAATAATTTGGCAAATTTTAAAAAAATTAAATGTAATTGCAACAACTATATTGATAAATATAAGTTCTCAGGTCATATATTAACTAGCAATTTTTCTTTTTTAAATCCAGAATATCAGGAAATTTTAAATAAAGGGTATAAATATATACCTCAAATTAAACACAATTATAATAATACAATTAAATCTATATTAAAAGATATAGATATTTTCATAAATAAATCTAGTATAAAATACAGTATTCCAGAATTTACTTTTCTGGAATGGAAACATAATATTAAAAAGGAAATTATAAATTATTATAATAATACACTTAAATACACAAAACCTAATTCAGACATTCCTTCTTTTAAAGAAAATATAATTAATTTACAGAAGGACTATATTATCACTCCTATAGATAAATGTTCCAATAACTTATCTTTAATTTGTAAAAATCTATACCACGATATACTAAAAAAGGAAATTGATAATAATCATAAATACACTTTTGCTAGAACTACAGCCACAAAAGTCAAAAAAGACATCAAAAACGTTTAAAATTAACTAAAAATTTATAATAACCACAAAAATCCAAACATACCAAAGTTCTATATAATTCCTAAACTACACAAAAAACCTATTTCTTTCAGAACAATCACATCTGGTATAAATTCAGTCATAAAAAATATTGATATACAATTAGCTTCAACACTACAATTTATTATAAATAAATTAACTAATAATTATAATTATAAATTTATCGACTCAAATAAAAAAATCATTAATTATTTAATGAACAATTGGACAAACATTGAAACAGTACACACATTTGACTTTGAGGACCTATATTCTAAAATAAATTTAAGAGATCTAAATAATAAAATAACCAATTTATATAATGAATTCATTAATGACAAAACTTTCTACATTAAAATTATTCATAACAGATATAAAACAATTAAATTAGATCTTAAAACAGCAAAAACTCTACTGGAAACATTTTTAAATTTTAACTATATAGAATTTAAAAATAAAATAT